ATATATATATATATACATATATATATATATATATATATATATATATATATATATATATGTATGTATGTATGTATACATGCATATACATATACATGTATATACATGTATATATATGTATATATATGTATATACATGTATATATATATATATATATATATATATATATATATATATATATATATATATATATATATGTATGTATGTAAACATGCATATATATACATGTATATACATGTATATATATGTATATATATATATATATATATATATATATATATATATATATATATATATATATATATATATATATATATATATATATATATATATATATATATATATATATACAGTAGCGTAGCGAAGGGCCCGCAGGGCCCGCAGCCGCGGGGAGGCCCAGAGTTATTAGAGGCCCAAGGCAACAAAGAAAAAATTAAAAAAAAAGTGTCAGTACAATAAATAACATGCGTATCATTTAACATACATACAAAACATATATTTTACACAGGAAGGTAAAGGCAAGGTGGATGGGGGGGGGGGGGAAGGGAATAGAAAAGAAGTAATTTAGGGGCCCGGATTAAATTTTTGCGGCGGGGAGGGGGCAATTTTTTGTCGCTACGCTACTGTATATATATATATATATATATATATATATATATATATATATATATATATATATATATATATATATATATATATATATATATATATATATATATATATATATATGTATATGTATACATGCATATATATATACATGGATATACATGTATATATATGTATATACATGCCAATGTTTTTAAAATGTTTTGGCGTACTTATGCCAATTCGCACTTATGCCAGTTTTTGAAACGCTTCGCACTTATGCCAGATCACACATTTGCCAACTCGCACCTATGAAATTTGCGCTTACGTTATTCGCACTTATGCCAGTTCGCACTTATGAAACTCGCGCTTATTCAATCGTCCCGTTTTGATAATTAATCATACGTTATAATATTGAAAAGAAACTAATTGAATGTTAAAGGTTAGGAATAAACAATTAAGAGTTTAAAAAAAGTTAAAATAAAAGAATGTTGTATTAGGAAAAACGAGTAAAAGAAATATAGACAGTTTAAAATAGTTATAAAACTTTAAAGTTGCTTTTCTTTATTACAAGAAGTTTGGTAAGAAGGTTGTTATAGTAGTTTTAATAAAAAGTATATTTTCATATAAGCCTATATAATAATAGGTTTTTTTCTAACTGACTTTCTATTTGATTTTAATGTTTTTTTGACATTCAATGTTTTGTATCTCAAAAATTATTAAAAAACATGAAAACCATATTGCCATAGATTATGGATCTAAATGCGTATCAAACTGAAAAATAGTTAAGAAAAAGAAAACTCACTTTTATTGCATTTTCATTCCAAATGGTTATTATTGGAATCGAATACACACTTACACTTTTAACATTATGGTTGTACATTAAAGAAATGATAAAGACAAGCTCCCCGAAATTACTGTATAGCATTGTTTCTGTTTCTTACATGTTAGCATCGACTATTGTGATGCCATTCATAGGAAGAATAGTCGATAAGTATCGAAATGTCAAAAGCTGTTTTTTGTTGTGCAATTTGTTAATGCTTACGGGAAATGTACTATACAGTATTCCTTTTTCACCAGTTTTTTTAATTGCAGGAAGGATTATTGCCGGCTTTGGTGGATCGTTAAAATCTGTAATATTTAGCGAAACAATACGAGATTATCCGGCTTCTGAAACAGGTTCAAAACTATCAGTTTTATCAATAATGTATAATATAGGATGTGTGGTTGGCCCAGGAATTAATTTTTTTTTTAAAGATATGAGCTTTTTTATTGGACGTTGGCATTTATTAGACGTAAACTTTCCAGGGCTTTTCATGGGCCTTATATGTATTGCTATGGAGATTTTTACATTAACAATGGTGCACGACCTTTCAAAGGAATTTGATTACAAAGCTTTATCGGAAAATAATAAGGCAACTGATACTGTGGAAAACGTTATTTGTGATAAATACATGGAAAACGTTGAAATTATACCAGTAGGAAGTTATAATAATGAGAGTAACTTTACAGGCGTCAGCAATGAAAAAAGCAATTACGCAGAGGATGACGATGAAAAAAGCAATTATGCTGACGATACCGAAGTACTTTTACCATTTGATTCAAAGAAACATACCGTTTTTAAAATAATAAAAGTGTTGTTTTTGCATATTGATTCTGCGCTTATTTTGTTTTCTAATTTTGTTATAGGCTTATTTTTTATAAGCACAGACATATGGATGCCTTTGTTAGTTGTAGAGAAAATGCATTTATCAATATTAGAAATGAACATTTGTTTTTTTGGATTGAGTGGAGTATGTACTCTTTTGTTGATTCGTTTTATTTGGAAACCTATGTCACATAATAGCCTAATAATATTGTTGATTATCAGTTTAGTTGGTTACAGTAGTGTAAGCGCAGGATTTATAGTTCTGTCATACATTCCATTCAACAAAGTGTTAAACGTCGCCATAGGCATCATTTTTATGGTAAGTTTTGGAGGTGCTCCTATACTTAATGACGTTTTTTTCGTCAACACGTTATCCAAAATGGTAAAATCAAACAATTTAACATTTGTTGACAGTATTCGATATTCTATGTTCTCCGCAGGAGCTTTTTTAGGTTATATTTTTGCTCCATTTATGTTCGACTATGTTGTAATCTTTGGAACACTGTTTATCCTTGTTATGATCATTATCGGAATTATGTTCATTGTACGACACAAACATTTTGTTAATCCGAAGCTTTTGTTCTAACTTTTGATTTAAAAATTTTAAAATATACGAATTATTAACTTCGCACAAATCTTTACTGCACAATTGTGGAATGACTTATAGATTGGTAAAAACGGATTATAATCAATTTTAAAGTATATTTGAATATGATATAAAAAACGTAGTTTTAGAGCATTTTTATTAATCTTGCAAACATTTTTGAAAATAAAAACTTTTCACAAAAATTTTTTTTTATATATTTAATATAAAACACAGTATTTTTATTTAAATAATTTTAATATTATGTAAATATATATACATTTTTTTGCGTATTGTGTGTGTGTGTTTTTGTTTATAAATATTTTTTTATGTATTTAAAATTATTTTTTATATATACTGAAAAATTTTAAACTATTAGTCTCAATTATGAGTAACAAAAATGCAAGTATAGTATCAATGAAATGATCACAACCTAACATGAAGTAAGTTTATGTTACAATCATTTCATTAACAAATCTTTTCATAATTATATAAAGCTATTTCTATAAAGATTATATCTACTCCAGTTAGTAATTGCTCTACATTATTTATACAAGTAGAAATTTTAGTAGAAATAACTATGTATATAAAATATTGAGCAATGATTTTTTTTTAGCCTAACCGAAAGACTTTACTCAGTAGTAACAATCATCTATCAAAAAAAAATTAAGAAAGCGATTGTATGTTAATTTAAAAAATACAAAAGTATTTTTTTAACTTATAAAGAAAAGCTATTATAAATATTGACAAACCTAAATCTTGACTAAAAAACTAAAGAGATGTAAGATGCACACATAAAGTGATTAAGAGTCTTAAAGTTATAAACTTCAAGAATCAGGTTATTTTTTTAAGTTTAGCTAATATATGCAAGTTTTTTATAATTTTTCAAAATTGGTGTTTTATTTAATATTCTTAACTAAATACTTCAATGTAAGTTTATATATAAGATTGAAGTGTGCAGTTTTTTGTATTTTTTTTAATATCAACTTTAGAACTATAAGTGAAACATCACAATTGTTTGCACATTAGAGAAGCAAGTCCTGGAATTAAAGAGCAAAAATTTGCCAAATAAAAGTTCATCTGTTTTTATTCAACATTTTATGTTAAATAAAATCAGATAAATGTTTTTCGAGATATTTAAAAATGTGTATGTATTTTCAACAAGTTGCTAAATAATACATTTTACATAATAATATGTTATAAATAATACATAAAACATTTCTTCAACAAGTTAAAAAAGAATTTCATGATGCATTGCTGCATTCTATTGTTATGATACTCTATTGTTATGATAAACTGTCATCAAGTTATAAGTCTATTAGTGGAACAGGTATGTTATTAAATGAGGCTTTTTCTTTTTTAAAAGATGTTTATTGTATTTAAATTAATTATTAGTTTTCCACAACAGTTTTTTATTAATATTTTACTTAGTTCGAACTCTTTTTTTTCTAATAAGTTTTCAATCTGCAGTATATATGGAACTATGATGCCTAAAGTCTTAAAAAGTCTTTATCTGAAGTGGATATCCTGGGGGAAAAGACTGAGTTTGAAGATTCATAATTTTATTATGATAAAATAAATAATATAACAAGGTTTGATGAAAGTGAAATAATTTTAAATAATAAGGCAAAGTTTTATTTGTTTTTATATTCTTGTTTACATTTATGTATAAAGTTTTCCTAAATAAAATAAAATGTGATCAAACTAAATAATTATCTATAATTTTTTAAGGTCTTTTTCAGCTCTACTAATAATGTTTTGGATGTTCTACCATAGTTTAAGCAAGTTGGAACTTATGGAAATAGATCATTTTAAAAAAACTTTATTGAGTTAATTATAGGTACTTTTTAAATTTTTATATTGTTCCTTTAATATACTGTGTGATATTTTCTATTACTCATTTCTTCTTATTATAATTTACATTTTGATGCATTTTTTTTTACATGCTAGTGAAATGCATGAAAGATTTTTATGGTATTTTTTTTTAGGAACATTAGTGTCACATAAAGCAAAATTCGATTTGGTCGATAAGTTGAAAGGCGATCGTTTTAAGAGAATAATAGAATAAATAACTTAATAGAATAGCAAAAAAAAAAAACTACTTTATTATGTTTTTGTTTGCTTACATTGTAAATAAAAACAAAATGTTTAAACTTTTAGTTATTCAATCAAATCTAGACTGTTAGACATCAGAGCTGTTTTCAAGTCGCTTTGGAGCAAGTCTCAATTCAAGTCTCAAGTCACTGAGATCAAGTCTCAAGTCAAGTCCCAAGTCATATAGTGACATGTCAAGTCAAGTCTCAAGTCAAGTCATATTACAATAAAAGATTCCCGTGCATGTGGTGGCTATCAGTGACGCGGCCAGGAGTTCGGAGGCCCCTTCCAAAACCTGTCATAAAAACCACGAAATTCCTCTTACAAAAGGGGCATAAGGGAACCTTGCGATGGCTCTGGTAGCTACATTCAAACAGCCACAATACAATTATAAACTACAGCATGATAATAGTTATAATTTTACTTTATTTACTAAAGTAGCTTTAAAAGTAAAATAAACCATCTGTAATAAAATAGCTAAGGAGTCATAATGCACAATACAGTGACATAACACTTCATAAGCTATTTAGCCAATTTACTAATGTTTTTATTCTATCATTCTTTTGAAAAAAAGATTACAAATGCTGATTTTCATAAAAAATTATAGTAATATATCCGTGTCACATTTTAAAAACACTAACTGATAATTTTGAAAGTAAAAATAAATAAGAGAAAAATGAAGATTGTTAAGGAAAGAAAAAGAAGAATTAAAAAAATTTAAATAAGACATTAAAATCACCCAACATTTATAAACAATAAACTTCATGAGTTAAAGAAAAAATGAACCAATCAGAACAACAAAAAAGTTGGAGTTTTTTGAAAACGAAAGAGCCTAAATGCGATATTTTTCTTCGGATCTCGCTTAGACTACAAACCAGTTAAAAGTAAGTTAAAATAAAAACATTCGAAAATAAAAAATAGTTAAAAAACAGTTGAATTAAAATAGAAGATAAATTGCTCCATTTTTGAAGAGACGGAAAATAATTATTTTAAAGTCGCTAAGCCGAAATTAGCAAGTCTCGAGTCAAGTCGCAAGTGTCAGGGTAAAACCCAAGTCGGACTCGAGTTCGAGTCGGTTGACTCGAGTCTCCAGCTCTGTTAGACATAAGTTTTCATTTGTGAAAAGGTTTTTTTTCTGTACAACATAAGTTATTTACTTAAATAACTGATACTTAAAGGGATCCCTAAGTGCTATAAAGATATGATCTCATATAAAAAAACATAAAAAAAATGTTTGATGTATATTATTTTTTTTAAAACGTTATAATGAGCACACACTAACAAATTTAATTTTCAAAAAAACGCTTTTCTTCGATTAAAAAAAATGCGTCTTATCCAAAGTTTATTGACTCTACTGCCTCAAAAAACTAACTTTAGTACGTCAAATTAAACAAAGTAGACAAAATGTCATTATTGCAAACGTATTAGTTGGTAATTAAATTTAAACGTAAAGTCGTTTTTTTTCAACTAACACATAATTACTTACAAGAATAAGTTTTGTAGCATTTTGTGAAAAAATATTTTTTTTATAATTTTTATTTATATATTTGTGTTATAAGGGCAATTCCACGGCCAAGTATGAATAGAATTCAAATTTTAAACTCTTAGTGAGTTTTTAACAAATGAATATTGATGTAGACACATGAAAGTTTATTTAAAATATTTCTTTAGTACGGTTATTCTCATTTTCGCTTGATAAAAAAAATAGTTATTGTAAAATGGTTTAGTTAAATTAACATTTATGTTAATTTTGCTATACTTTTTTGGTTCAAATTGATAAGGTTGAATAGACATTTTATTAGAAATTAAACTAAGGCAGGGCTCGAATTAACGCAAAAAAATCTAATCGTGATAATTTTTTTTTTTTTTTTTGCTAACCCCCCCCCCCTCTTCTCTCTCTGTGCGGTAATGAGGGGGGAGGGGGTTGCGTTAGTATAAAATTGTCTCTTTATTTTATCTCTCATATTTAAATGTTATCTTATGATTTTCTTGTTTGGCGGAGTTTAAAATAGCGTAAGTTATGGTTATAATTTACAGCTTAATTTGTAATTTAAAGTTTAAGTTGCAGTTACAGTGTAATGAGCAAGTAACCTATTTAATACTATTAATTAAGTAATTGTTTTTACTTAACATGATACTTAAAAAAGTAAAAAAATTAGAGTAAAAAGCAAACATTACTATATTTCAGTAACCCCTTTCCCCACCACCACCACCAGAATCTAAAAGTCTTGAAAATATCATAGAAATTGAGGACCTTGTTTTTTGCTTTTTTTTAGGAGACGCAAACTTGGTACATAATTCAAAAATATTTCAATATCCCCTTCCACCAATAATTTCTGAATCCGTCTCAATGCAATATTTAAACCACTTTAATTAGTCATAGAAAACTGTTTAATACGATCACGCTGAAGATAAAACATGTGTTTTTAATGAATACTTAATAGTGATTGTAAAAAGCTATAAAACAACTATAAAACAAAAAGTTGTCTTTGAAATATAAATAGCTTGTCAATGTAAAACAACTTCGTGACGCTGTTTTGTTGCTGCTTTATACAGTTTAATAACATAAAATGTGTTTAAAAAAAAACGAAGCAAATAAATGAAATTGTTTTAATTAATAAATTAAAAAATTATCGTCAATAAATAAAAAAACATCGTCAAAAACTTAATAAAAAATTAGATACCACGTTTTTTATAATTTATTGTTTCTTGAATAAAGGACTAATAAAAGTTTAATATATAATTAAGTTTTTCATTTAAATGGTTTTTAAGTTGATGTTTTTATTCAATTTTTCCTATTTCAATTGTTTTCCAATAAAAAGTGAAACAAAAATATTTGGTTTAATAAATCGAATTATACTTCATGTTTAAAAATGAGGCTTAAAAACGTTAAAGTAAAAAAATTACTGGTTTTTATTAGCATTTTTATACTGCTTGAAAAAAAAACTAATAAAAAATAATTAAGTAATAATATAAACTATTAAAAAAGAATTAAACTAATAACATATTAATTAATAATTATTAGAATTAATAATAATAAATAATTAATTCTTTTTTATTAGTTTTTTTTTTACACAGTATAAAAAATGCAAATAAAAGTCAGCAATTTTTTTGCTTTTACGTTTTTGAAGCCTTATTTTATACATGAAGTTTTAATAAACAAAGATAAAAACCAGGCTATTTTTTAGAATGAAGATAAAATTCGAAACGTCTTACCTTTTCAACTTTTCGCTTTAACGACCTTTTAAAAATTTTCCACGCAGAGATTTAAAGTAATTTAAATTCAAAAATGTTTTACTTTGAAAGAAAATCTCCGCGCAAATTATCTATTCATTTATCTATTTAGAATAATAAATTTTGTGTGACGTTTTTTATTACTTTTAAGAATTGCTAAAAAAAATGCTAAGCTAGAAAAAAATTAAACAACCAAAAAAAAAAACAAATCGCGAAATAATTTTTTTTAAGAAAAAAGTGTGAAAAGCAATCGCGATTTAATACGAGCCCTGTAAGACTTTTTTATAAGTTCTAAACTATTTAAAACTATTACTTAATAACTTTTTTTTTAACGACGTCTTTCAACAGAATTCTATTATACTGTTTTTGCAAAACTAATTAAAAAAACTTGATTAAAACTTAACGACTTTTTTTTACTTGAAAATCGAAGTAGATATTCAAAAGTTGTTGTGACATACCATGGCCTACTATATTATACGGCCGTATATGTTACATTTTAGAGGCCGATTCTAAGAGGCCTATTTTCGCACAAAAAAAGACAACAAGTTGAATGATAAAACTATTAATTTTAAACTTGCATATTATGCAAAATAAAAAGCAACTTGCATAATAAGTAGAACTTGCAAATTATATATATATATATATATATATATATATATATATATATATATATATATATATATATATATATATATATATATATATATATATACATATATATATATATATATATATATATATATATATATATATATATATATATATATATATATATATATATATATATATATATATATATATATATATATATATATATATATATACATATATATATATATATATATATATATATATATATATATATATATAATATATATATATATATATATATATATATATATATATATATATATATATATATATGTATATATATATATATATATTTATATATATATATATATATATATATATATATATATATATATATATATATATATATATATATATATAATAACTGTTTTAGAAAGTTAATAAATACTAAAAAAGCTGAATCATATCATGGTTAACAAGTGTGTTGCATATGGTTGTAAAACTGGATACAACAGTTCTTTAGAAGATAAAAAAATTGCTTCTTTTCATTTTCCGTTAAAAAATCAACAGTTACTGAATTATTGGGTTCATTTTGTTAATCGTACTGATTGGGTGCCTTCACCAAACTCCGTTTTGTGTGAAAAGCATTTTAATGAAAAGTTTATCATCCGTGGTAAAAAATGCAAGTTAAATTGGAATCTAGATCCTATTCCTGAAATTTTCTCCAGTGATTGCTTAAAACGTCCTTCCACATTACTAGCCATTCCAGACGATTCTTTTATAATTAAAATATTCAAATATAATTGATGTCATTGTATAGAGCTTGGTTTGACTTAAAAAATGAGGGGTCATTTAGCCTTTGAAGTTAAGCGGATCAAAAGTTATTGACCTTTTTGTAGTGAAAAAACGGGTAATTTTTTGACAAAAGGTATAGGGCTTAAGTATGGAAAATTTACTGCGAAATGGCACCGAAAATGAAAGTATTATTGACATTTGAATAACTTTTGAACCGATGATACATTTGACTTGAAATTTTCCATAGTGACCAAATAACTATAAGAAAATAAAATTCCAAATTTTTTTTTTTAGAAATCTGTCAGGATTGACCAGAAATTATCTATTTTACAGACCAGAATTTTTACTAATTTATACATTTTTAGGGTCATACTGACTTTTTACTAACTTTTGAATCGTTATTACATTTGAATTGAAACATTCTATAGCAATCCAACAACTATAAAAAAATAAAAAACCAAAATTTTTTTTTT